AAAAAGAAGAAGAAGAAGAAGAAGAAGAAGAAGAAGAAGAAGAAGAAGAAGAAGAAGAAGAAGAAGAAGCCATTTCCTTGCCTAGAGATTATATCCTCATCTCAAAGATATTTTTTCCTTTTTTTTTTTTTTTTAAGATAGGGTTTCTCTGTGTAGCTCTGGCTGTCCTGGAGCTCACTTTTTAGACCAGGCTGGCCTCAAACTCACAGAGATCCGCCTGCCTCTGCCTTCTAAGTGCTGGGATTAAAGGTGTGCACCACACCAGCCTTCAAAGATCTCTTTGATATTTTTATTTTACAAAATATTAATACAACAGTTGCTTCTTGTAAAGGCCACTGAAATTGAATCTGCATTGGGGGCTGGGTATGGTGGTACACATCTTTATTCCCAGTCCTTGGGAGGCACAGGCAGGAGGATCTCTGTGAGTTCAAGGCCAACCAAGACAACACAGTGACATTTGGTCTCAAAAACAAAACAAACAACAAAACGTTGCGTTGGTCTGGGGAAGTATGTATGTCGGTGGTAAAGAACCCGGGTAGTGTTCTCAAGTGTTCTGCATGACACTGAAACCAAAGCTACATGTATGGGTTTGGGAATGTGACCCAGGGCACAGTGCTTGCTGGTGAGTACCGGGAACACAGACGCCATCTGTAGTCCCAGCACTGCGGAGTCAGGACAGGTGGTCCCAGAGCAGGCTGGCTCGCGAGACCAGCCAGACTGGCAGGTTCTGGGTTCAGGATCTTGACTCGGTGTGTAAGGTGGAAAATGACCAAAGAAGGAGCCCCATGTCAACCTCTGGCCCTTATGTGTACGCACACACATGTGCATGCACACCACCACCCCACACAAGTGCTCATACACATGTGAACACACATGTACATGCAATATAATTAAAACTGGATTGTTTACTATGTTACAAGCTAGGGAGAGAACATAGCTGAGTATTTAATGGAATTTATGCAATTAAAGAGATTAAAATGTTCCCAAATAAAACTCTAGACCACTTAAACTTTTTACACACTGAGTCAGATCCCAGGAAACAGAGTATAGAAGGGAAAAGACACAAATATTCTGAATTTAAAACTCCTCCCTCATTATCTTGGTAGACTGACCATTATCTTGGTAACCCTCCAACAGACAGACAAACAGACACACACACCACACACATACACCACATGCACACACACACACCACACATACATACACCACATGCACACACACACCACATACATACACACA